AAAAGTAAATTGCTCAAAGTAAATGTAAATTGAGTTTTAGAGTGGTTTGGTCAATGTGACCTACATCCACTTTCGGATTCCTCCTCCGACGAGGTCATCGGCATCCACTAAAGGCCTTCCTTCAATAGGTGAAGACCAACCACCTTTTACAGCGTTTTCTTTTTTTCAAAGGTTTAGGAGAGAACCCTTACAATTCTCACACCTCTCTTGAATGATCTCAAAACTTAGAAAGAGAGGAGGAGGACTCTAGCACTTGTTTACAACACTTTTTCACCCCAACAACTTAATATTATCTCAATGCTTTCGTGCCCTTTCATGTAAAAGGATGAGGTTTTTATAGGCTCCAATGGCTTCAAAAATGGAGCCAAAAAGTGTCTAATGCTGGATTTTCGAGGTCCTGACGGTACCACCGCCATTATTGGGTGGTACCACTACCTGACACCTGACACTAGGCGGTACCACCGTTGGCAGCAATAGCTGCTGGCGGTACCACTTCCCAGTCTGGGCAGTACCACCGCCCAGACCATTTGGGAGACTGGGTCTTCTCGGCGGTGCCACTGTCGACCATGTTTTTAGGGGCTGATTGAGCTATTCAATCCGGCTCAAATCAGCCCTGTTAAGGGCCCAGTTAGCCCCTAATTAAGTTAGTGGGATTACCTCCTAATCTTAACTTAATTTACGCTATAACTACGATAATTAAGACATGATTACAACACTTCTTGTTCTGGTGTGCCAATTGCTCTTCCGACGAGCTTCCGGCATTCTTCCGGTGAACATCCGACGAACTCTCGGCAATACTTCGGTAGAATCCCGGCAAGCTCCTAGACTTTACGATGATCTTCTTGGCAAGTTTCGACGAGCTTCTTTGGCAAGCTCCTGTACTTCTCGGTTGGTTCCGGTAGAACTTCCAATGAACTCTCGAACTCCCAACGTGATCTCGATCTTGACTCCGGCACAACACTTGCTTTATGTCTTACTGCTATCGTAGTTAATCCTACATACTTTTCTCAACATATAGATTAAATCAAATAAATTACAATTGACTTCATTATCAAAATTCGAGATTCAATAACTCGACCATAGAGGCGGAGTACATTGTTGTGATAGAGGCAGCAAAGGAGGGAGTCTGAATAAAGAAGTTCATCATAAATCTGAAAGTCGTGCTAGGTAGCAAGGAGTTGATTCCCTTATATTATGACAACAACAAAATGATTGCTCAAACGAAGGAACCTAGGTCTCATCAGAAGTCAAAGCACGTTCTGAGAAGGTTCCACCTGATCAAAGAGAGTCGCCCGAGGAGATGTGGCGTTGGAAAGAGTTTCATCCGAAGATAACATTATAAATACACTGACAAAGCCATTATCTCAAATTATCTTTAAGCCTTAGAGGGGTTTGATGGGGATCAAATACATAAGTGATTGACTTTAGGTCAAATGAGAGATTGCTAGTCATAGATGCCCTACAAGCCAATCACGTGAGTGATGGCACGTGTGATATGACATAGTCATTTTGCTTATTATTTTTATGATATTTTTTCACTTTATATTTCTTGTTGTATAAATATATTATGATGTCCATGGATCTGTGTAATGAGAATCCGATCGTGATGAGATCACGATAATGAGACTGATTCATCTTTAAACATAAACCCTAAATAATCTTGATCATAGGTTACTTGAGAAAAACATCGAGATAACTAAACAGACTGATGTGTTGTATACACATCCATATAATGGAAGCAGTTGGTCTCATAGCTACTCATGTGGGGATACTAGGGCTACAATGTATGTGCCCATTGAAGAATGAGTTCACTCATTGATCCACTCACGGAATGCTGGATAGTTGATGATACCTCATTGTCAGATAATAATTTCGTCATCTTAGTGATGTACCTAGTCCTTAGACTTGAGACACTAAGGAAGTTGTGTATGAGTACTCCACTCTTTGATATTATACTTATAGGTTTGGAAGTTTTAAATCTAGCAAAGCCGGTCATGGGAGTGATAGCTAACCTTACGAGGGCTATTGAGTATTGTTAGAGGATTGTCCGCTCTCGATATCATGACAGAGATATCACATATATTTTTGCTTAGACAAATCCTTGGCCAAAGTCATTTAGATTGAGAGAGAAAGAGTTCTCTGGGAGAATTCGATTAGAGTGAGACTTGGAAGAAACTGTATGGGCCTGACAGTATCATTCCCGATATACAATCTCTATGATATTAGATGGATGAGATACTATAAGTGCTTGGTAACTAAGGACAGATATACCCAAAGGATTATATTCCCTATATCGTATGGAAACTACAACATAGTGGCATAGTACGTCTACGGTCGATGGGTCGAGTGAATTATTATGGAGATAATAATTCACTCAGCCAGAAAGAGTTCTAACAGGTATGACTTATGGCCAGCTCAATATTGGGCCTAGAAGGTCACACACATATAGTAGGTGTTGCGACGAGTAGAGGTTCAGATATGAGATATCTGCAGGAGCCCCTATCTTATTGGGCATTTATTAAGTCCCTGAATTATTAGATCATATAGATGAGATCCAATAAGAGTCAATAATAGATTATTGGATAGAGATCGACTAATCTAAGAGGCTTGGATAATTGGATAGAGATCCAATACCCAATAGGGCAAAATTCATTATGGTTAAGTTGACATGATACCTCTATAAATAGAAGGAAACTAAAAACTCATAGGCTAGAGGCTTCTTGGTTGCCACCTCCTATTCTCCTCTCCCCTTCTCATCTTCAGCCAACAGGTGTGGAGATTTGGGCTGCGATTTGAGGAGAATCTTCGTAGCCCTTGCCGTGTAGATCACCACTAGAGAGGAGGTTATTTGAACTCCTTCATCCAATCCCACATATTTGTAGGAATTTAGGGATATACAATCTCCCTATGTAACACAACTATCTCACACATGATTTTTTGGTCTTGTGGGTCTTTGCGCACCAATTTTCATACGACAACGAATACCTTTTTATGAAATCTAATATTTTTTGTTTTCTATTCTTCTGATGCGTATGTGATGTCACTCCTAGATTTCCCTACAGGGCCTAGCCTATGACCCTTTGGTTCCCTCCTATTTATAAAGGCCCCCTATCAACTTAACCCTAATAGATCATGCCCTATTAGGTATTGGATCTCTATCTAATTACTCAAACCTCTTAGATTAGTATATCTCTACCCAATAATCTCTCATTGGCTCTTATTGGATCTCATCCAAAAGATCCAATAATTCATGGGCTTATTGGATATCCAATAAGATAAGGGCTCTAGCGGATATTTCATATCTGAATCTCTACTCGTCGCAACACCTACCATATGTGTATGACCTTCTAGACCTAATATCAAGCTGGCCATGAGTCATACTTGTCAGAACTTCTTCTTGCTTAATTATTATCTCCATAATAATTCACTCGACTCATCGACTATGGATGTACTAGGTCAGTACGCCATAGTCCCCAGACGATATAAAGGAATCTAATCCATTGGACCTATTTATCCTCAGTTACTATGTATCTATAGTCTATCATCTATCTAATATCCCAAAGATTGTATGCTAGGCATGGTGTTATCAAGCTCATACAGTTTCTACTTGAGTCTCGCTCTAATTAGATTCTTCTAGAAAACTCTTTCTCTCTTAATTTGAATGACCCTGGCTAAGGATTTGCTTGAGTGAGAACACATGAGATATTCCTCTTATGATACCGAGAATGGATGATCTTCTATTGATACTCAATAGCTCTCGTAAGATTAGCTACCACTCACAATGACCAGTTGTGTTAGATCTGGAACTTCCAAGTCTACAAGTCTGGTATCAAAGAGTTTAGTACTCATATAAAACATTCTTAGTGTCTCAAGTCTAAGGACCATATACACTATTGGAACAATAGAATCATTGTTTGACAATAAAGTATCATCAACCATCTAGCATTCCGTGAGAGGATCAATCAAACTCATTATCTAATGAGTACCTATGCGGTATCTCTAGTGTCCCCACACAAACAACTATGAGACTAGCCGCCTACATCATATGGAGAGTATACAACATACTAGTCTATTCGGTCATTTCGATATTTCTTTCGAGTGATTTATGACCGAGATTATTTAGAGCCTGTGTTTAAAAATGAATTTGTCTCATTATCGTGATCTTATCATGATTCGATTCTCATTGTACAGATCCATGAACAACACAATATATGCAATAGATAATATAAAGTGAAAAAAATATCAAATAAAATATTTGGACCTATGTTAGTTCAACATGTCAACCGAGTATCTTAAATGATTGGCACGATGCATGATAGCATTAATTGCAATGCCCGATAGTTCGATCAACTCTTTATGTCTAAATAACGTCCAATAACCTCACATAAATATCGTATAGAAGACCTCATGTATGTTGCTTTACACATGAGACATTTTATATGACTAGGAACTCTCCGAACACTTCGAATTAAGGTTGATTCTGAACCCTCAGCAACTTAGACAATCCGAATATGCAAAACATGAAAAATCAGGAAAGAATCAGAATCCCTTGATGCAATTTTGCAAGACTCTATCAAATCAGACAATTTCCTAGCACCATGATAAGAACAAAGGTTGATTCTGAACCAATCAGAATCTGCAATAACAATCAGGAAATAGATGATATAAAACTGCAAAACAGAAGATTGAGAGTAACATTACAAACAAAACATGGAAATAGAAGTTTTCTTTGGGGGAGGAGAACAGGATGCATTCCATGCTCTGACAGAACAAAAGGACAGATCGGTGCCACTACAAGCCCACAACATTTTGGTGCGCCATCTTTCATCTTACCGAGAACTAAACAAGAAGCACCTGCACCAAGCAGTAAACAAGAAGCCATATTTCATCTTACCACGAACTAAATAAGGAGCACATAACAATTTTTTTTTTACTAAAAAAAAAGGTACCAAGATAGAGACATCCAACCACAATGCAAATTGACATAAGCACTAGAAAATTGAATTAAAAATAGATAATAAAAGATTAAATACAAAATCATTTATGACTATCAAGATTTCCAGAATTTTTTTTTCAGGAATTAAAAGTCAATCCTAAATGTAGCATTAGCATACAAAGAACTGCAAGCTAGTGCAAGAGATGCCAACTTACCCTTGTTGCATAAGAAAAGGGGCCAACAAGGGCTGAGAAGAAAATTGAGCAAAAAATCAATTTACACTGGTCCAAAGATGACATTGATCCAATTTGTGGTGACACTCTGTTAATCTTTAGACTATGTAACAAACAAATGGTGCAATCAACTATTATGTGAAGCTACCAGATCTTCCTACACCTGTCTCTTATGTCAAGAATCATAAAGCTAAACCGATGCTCTTATTGCTCGGTGGCCTTTGCATGTTCATAAACCAGCAACAACGGAGACCTTGTCTCTTTCCAAATTTATTGGTGACTCTTGACAGTTATAAAGAATCTGATGTCTGCTGTACATTGCTGACACAATGCCTGAAATCCAATGTGGAAAATTTACGCAAGTTTGAGGCAAGCAAGATTGTTATTCAGTCCATGCTTCGCTTATCATCCTGCACACCTCACAGCTGACGTTATGGATTAACGTTGCAAGCATCCATAAACCTCTCTCCTTTCGTCAGGTACCTTTTCCAGTATTTCTTGTACTTTGGAATGCCCAGATCGAGCCAAGGCTTCATGTTGCCGTCATAGTGCAATACGGCAGCTCTTTTTAGAGTGTCATCGAGGACTCTATAGTCATAACCAAGTCCTTGCTGAACCAGGGTATCATCTAGAGCATATATCTGACCGTGTAAAATAAGCAAACTTGCTGGAAGCGTTGCAGCTCTCCATGACGCTTCATTTTCATGTTGCAACTGTCACCCACAGTTGGAAAAACAAAAGAGAATTAGATTGCAATAAATAGTGTGAATAATATATCATCATCTGAAAGTTCTAGTAAAAGTGGAAACAGATCAGCTTTCGTGCACAAAGAACTTTACACTCTACAGTAAGTTATGAAACATTAGAAATTTTGTAAATCAACATCCTGATCCGTTGCAATTACCTGATGGAGAAATCTTTGATAAGATCCAGTGATATTGTGTTCTCTCCATTTATCCAAATCAATAATGTTTAATCCAGACATCCAAGCACAAGAATTAACATCATAACCGCTGGTGCTCAAATATGATTTTAATTGACCCAATTTGACCCCACAAAATTCTGTAGCACCAATTACTTTTCCTTCCAAGTCAAGATTCCACAAGAATGATATATCCTTTTGGACAACTACATCATCATCAAGAACGATTACCTTCTTTAAATTCTTGAAGATATCAGAAAGAAGAAAGTGGGAGTGACCAAATACTGAGATGTATTTAGTTTTCATCTGCAAAGGGGATGGTTGAGCAATAGAATGAGTGGAGACCCGAAACTCCTCAGACGTTGACAACTCTTCCAAATCAAAGTCAGCAAAATGATTAATATCAAGCTCATCAAAGTTCAAAACATAAATGGTCGCCTTTTTGTAATAATTTCTGGAGAACCAGTGTTTCATAGAGTAAAAATTTTGTTTATCAGTGAGCACATGGAAAGCCATGTTGTCAGATTCCTGTAAAACAAGGAAGATGTCAATGACACAATTGGGAACAAAATCTTCCTATGTCAAATGAAAAGGCATCAAGATCAGAATGCCATACCTTAGAGTTCACTACAGTAGAGTTGATAGTTACTGATACTGCAAGTATATTTCTAGAAAGGATTATATAGTGTTGAAAATTTGGGTTGTCAATTTTGTTAGCAAATGAATGTTTGATATCTGCTGATGGAGACTTGAAATATTCTACTGTCAGTCTCATTGAAAGGCAATGGAAACCTTTGGACAAGGTCTGGACACCAAGTTGATAGAGAAATGCACTTTGCTTCATATGAAAATGAGCTTCATCTTCTGTTAGATCAAGTATCTGTCTAAGTTTCCTGTCAACGTTACTGCACTGTACGGAGCATGATTTGGCTTTTGCAATAGCCTCACCCATCCTTTGTACCTTCTTCTCTATGCTGAAAGGGAAAAGTCTCAGTAGTTAAAACCATGTCACAGTGAAAAAGAAAAGAGAGAAAAGCAATGGAACATTCTTATGGGTTTCCCAAGGACTAGAACTAAGAAAACATCTCAAATTATTGGGTATCTACAATTCAATTCCTAGATTGTCAGTTAGTGAGTTCCAACATTTGGCTTCTCTCAACTAAGAATTAAAAGTTGAAGCAGTTATAATCAACACTAGTGCAATCAAAGGAGATATAAAACCTAGTGGCCAAACTAGGACTAATCTTGGCATCACAAAGCGTGTTTTGCTTCCACAACCTGAATCGACACCCATTTAACACTATTAAGTAGCAAAATCTGAAGTTACAATAGTAGCATGATCTAAATATTTGTAGAAAATGACCTTAAAATATTTGAGCATCTGGTAAACATTTTTTAACAAATCCTGAACTTCTGATAATACTCTCTTCTAATCTAATTCTTATAATTCTTTAGTTTCTAGTTTCCCTAACAAGATCATTCTAGATGCATCTGCAACCATAAGTTTTCATCATGGTATATCACAAAAATTCAAAGCTTTATCACAATGTTTTATATATTGGTCCAATAGCAGCTTCCGTAAGCTATGGACTGGTATGGTACCAGTATACTAGGCAGTATACCAACCCATACCATTCAGTATCAATGAATAAAATAGTGAAAATAGTAAAAGATGAACCATATGAACTTTGAGCTATGAGTTCCACTATCACAGGTCAGTATGTATCGATCAGACCCATATTTAAAACATCACTCTATGTAACAGTCATTTTTATCCTTCTCTTAAGTTGCAGAAGGCTTTCAATATAGCAAAAGGTTTAAGTTGTCTGTCAATTTGATCAAGTCACTCATTAGTTTCTTGTTTATTTTAAACAATCGATTGCGAAAATGAAGGATGTCTTGCTGTTGTTTTCAATCTCATTGGTGACAGTCAAGTTGCTCATACTCAAGATTCAAGAGTGCTACTATGTACTGAGACGATCAGAACTGAGGTGTCCACAGCGATACTACTTAGGTAATGACAGCGGATATATGAAGACCACAATTAACAGCAAATGTTTTTTATTGATTTAAAAGTTAACTTAAGTTCAGATTAATACAATATTTTTTTATGTATAATAGCAGAGACCAGAGTAACAAATAACACAAAGTAGGCACAATATTGTAGGAAGAACAGATAAAAAAATGGATAAGCCAAGAAAAAAAAAAGGGAGAGCATACATCAGGCTTTCAGACAAAAAAACACCCTGTTTCTCAAAAAATCAGCAGAATATTCAAAGTTCATCAAAGAACGGCATTTTGAAAGCAGCAAAGAACACAAACTACATTTTGAAAGCATAAATGGTAATGACTCAAGAAACTGAGAAAAGGATACCAAAATTATCTTTCAAACAACCTAACTTTTATAAGTGAAATAAGATAAAATTCATAAGAAATTAGTCCAAGGGACACTGATGAGATTGTCTCAGTTGAACGAAATGATTGCTTAAATACTAATTATGAGTTACATCAGATACTCTTCATGTTTTTCAAGTTGAAGACACTATGATGCTTTTCATGTTTTTTTAGTTGAAACTATCCCTTCAAGAGCCTAACCATAAAGTCTCCTGATCTGTATCACGGTGTTAAAATTAGCATCAATTGTTGCTATAAACAGGATTTCGGTGCTTTAATTCAGTTATGATAAAAACACAAGTAGAAGAAGACCAAAATATCTAAGAAAAATATTAAATTAATAGATGGTTAAATGAATAGAATTCTAAAAGAATGAAGACAGCAAGCCACAAATAGATGAAATACAGGAACATAATTCTAGAAGAATAGACATCAAAACCATAAAGCAGAGAATATTTTGTTAAAAATCACCAAGATAGTGTGATGATTCATTACTAGTAAAAAGGCCCTATCTATAAAAAAACACGACCACAAAATGGTAGAACTCTGGTGCAAATCCATACACCTACACTAAGATTTCAATAGACTTAACTAAGAAGAGGATGCCTAGCCAACTTAGAATTCCAAAATTGGAAATAAAAAAGCAATGAACTTCTGAATTGATGTGACCTATGATTTCTGGTTTTGACAGAATAAAATTATGAAATAAAGATTGATCAATCTGTACATTACTCCATAAGAAACAAAATCTAATAATGCTTAACCTAAAATCTTAAATGACGAACAACGTATCAAAATTTCTAAAAAGCAAGAAACTATGTTATGATCATAAAGACTCCAAGATCAATTGATTCACTCATGCCATGAGATGTGAGAGGCATAGAATTAGGTTCCACTCAAAAAGATTACCTAGAGATGCATCCTAATCACTCGTCTGCATGTCCCATTGTCGAAAAACTAAGAGAAAAAGATAAGATATATCTAACACAATATATATAACACGGTTCATCCCAAAGAAACTTCAACACACTTTTACCCAACTAACAACATGATTCCCTCATTAGTTGGACTATTTTTGTGGGATATATACAGGATGTAGTTTTTCCTTATTCCTTATACATATAAATTGCACTACTTTTACAGAGAAACTATACACCCAACAATTGTACATTGCAAAAGGACCAAGAGAACATTGCATGCACCATCATAGTAAGTAAAATAAACATTTTTAATCAAATAAGACCAGGTTAAAGTTGTCCAGTCAATCCAACAAGAACAAGTCAAAGTTTCCAACTTCTTGAGGTTGTACCTTTATAACATCTCTGTATGATAGGCATATAAATCGATTCATACTATATATGGATATATATTGGGCCAAAACTTGAATATTTGGACATTTGGTGCAGACAGTAAAAATTAAAGACTATTTATGTATCACAAAGGATAAAGTGAATTTAATTAATAAAGATGAGGTTCTAGAAATTGTGCTTACAGTGGTGGAAGCTCAGGATCAGAGATTGCTTCACTAAGCATGCGTTCATGATTTTGAATGTTCAGCTTCAGTTCACGTGTCAGGTTTTCCTGTCCCTTAAGTTTCGCAATGCTTGGATAGTAAGATCTTGCCACAAACAGCTGATCCTTGAGTCTCTTCACAATAGAATCTTTCATTACTTCTCTATGTTCCCTGGACCAGAGACAATAACTTCCAAATTCAAGTTCACAAGATCTCTCAATCTCATGAACATTTGAGCCCATGGCATAGCTGTGCTTTCCAACTCCCTCACTGGACTGCAATAATACAATAATTAGGCACTCAATAAATATTCCAAATGATAAATACAAGGCACAAAGACTAAATGTTGTCCACATACATGTAGAGGTATTAAACAAGGTCAACTTAAACAAATACATGTCAAAGAAACTCAAGGAAATTTGGTAGTTCTTTTTAAAATATAACTACATCAATACAAAACTCTGCTACAACTTGCTGATAACCAGCCGGTTAGATTGGCCGCAACAATCTTTAATTAAAGATTGATTTAGGTATTTAGCCAACAAGATATGCTTACTTTATTACTCAGAGATGAAGATTTTTTTGCAGCACCATTATTTTCTGCAAGTGGACCTGCACAGGATTTTAAAAAGTCAGAACTATCTTCTTTGGTTAAGAAATAGGAAGAATAAGAGAAGAAATATATACACATCTTTGGGTGTAAGAAGAACACACCTAAAATTATCCTGGGTACATACCTTTCAAATTGGATGTCTTATCCTTTGGTACAGCCAGAGAAGTAGCATTCTCTGGTTTTATAGGAGATGGTGAAATAACAGCATTGTTTAACCTCTTGTACAAATCCTCATCAGAAGGCACACTTTCAGTACCCTGACAAAGAAATGAAGATTTTCTTTGTTAGAAAATCTGTACATCCTAGCTAACCAAATAATAAACAGGCATAAGTTTCACATAACTTCTGAAATTAAACTTTTTCCAGCTACAGATCCATCATGAAGATTCCAAAGTTCAATATCCAAATTTGCAGGTGCCACAAAGATTGACCGTGGGTCACTCTAGAACAATAATTATTCAAAAAAGCTCAAATTGCTGATAAGAAATTTGAAAACTATTAATCTAATAAAGAGAATCTTTTTTTTCATTCCATAACTCTCCCACCAATATTTCAAGTTTGGGTCCAAGGCTCAAACCAGTCTTTCGTGGGACCGCTATAGGTCCGGTAATGCACTAGCATATAGATATATGTAAGTTGATATACCAGTCAGCATAGACCAAAGAGAAACACACAGAAGAAGAGGAGGAGGAGACAGGGTGCAGTAGGTGGCAACAATGATTTAAGGAGGCAGAGACAACCATAGGAGGAGGTGGCTGAGGAGGCAGAAGCAAAGGTGGAGAACAACTGAGCAAAGAGAGACAAGAAACACAAGCTGATTAAACTTACAAGCCTTTTTTTTACTTTTTCAATAATCTAAATATAGCAAACCAGTCATTTTCAGCTGTCCAAATTATAAAAAATGATTTCAATGTGGATCGGGTGAATCTTGCATTCTGCATGCCGGAACTTGGGTGGACCAGTAAATGCTGGTTTCTATGCACCAATCTGACCAATTCTTTTAACCATGCCCCAACTACCATAACCCCCATTGTGGGGATGCTAAACTTTTTATACATTCTCCAGCCATTCTCATGTTCACACTCTTTAACATATCTCTTATTGCCAACACATCCTCCTATTTCCACCCAATCCTACTAAACACAGAATTCATTGCCTGTAAATAGTGGGAGCCACTGAAGAAGTAACCCCAATTCAGGTGAGGTGGACATTGGCTTGCAACAAATAAAAAAGGAAGAGATTAACATCGTTTTGATGGACAGTGAAATTGACATAGGAGCCAACCATAGCAGTACTCAAAATTTCCCAACTCACAATAAGAAGGGACTAAAATGAAAGCAAGATCCAATTTAAGACAAAAATGAAGAACCTAGAGATGTATAGAAATGCTAATGGAGTTGAAAGAAAGATCGCTCGTCATGAAAATAAAAAAGGTGGTGTAGGACTAGGGAGATCAATGTACTATTTCTAGCTTGCCATAATTTTAATGGAAAGGCCGAATCTATTTACTAATAGCATTTACACATAAAATAATAAGTTTCTCTTTCTTCCCATTGTGTATGAGTTACAGTAATAGTGAATGATCTAATGGTTTCACAACAGGACCAATTACAAAGAGAAAGAAACTATTCAATAACAGAAAAGTTCAATGGAAACAATGGATTCGATACATGAAAATTCTCCAGTATAATAAAGATTTTCCACGATTACAATATACAAATTGATCCCTAACACAATATAATTTGATTAAACAAAACACTAAACAAATTCTTCTATTGTCTTCTCACTTAATTTCACCACAAACAAAAGATCTAGTGTGTGCTTACTCCAAATATTTATAATTTTATGTTTCTATTTTTCATTTTTCAATTATTTACTTATTGAAACTAGATAACTGTTTCTACTAACTTGCTTATCATCATCTCAAGAAGTGTATGTCAGACCCGAAGATGGTCAGGTAAATATTATGACCGCAACACAAGATTTAGCTAGTGACTAGTGACAACAAGATAACGAACAAGGGCTAGGAGGAAGGAGGATCTTCTCAGAATGATAGAGGATGGGGATGGAGGCCATGATGAAATGATCTCATCACTTGTAAGGAAGGTGTTTGGTGAACCTTTTGGAACATATAAATGTAGGCAGCATAAATGACAGAAAAGCACAAAAATCAGGCGAGCGGCGAACCTTTTGGAAGGGCGGTGCAAAATTGTTCACAGCGTTACGAGTCAATGGCTGATCATCCTGTCAAATGCCAGAACCACTAATATCATTAAGATGGTTTGCGAACCGAGCAGGCCAATACCATGACAGAGGAAGTAAGAACAGAAAAGAACCTTCGAGGGATTCTTCTTTTCACCACTATCATCGTGACGGTAAATCTCAAAGGTACTTTCCTAGAATGAACCAAAACCGAGAATCAGGTGAAACCAACCAATCAAAAGCATTACTCGGTATCATCATAGCAGATTCGCTCACCTGTTGAGAGCGATCATCAGCCAGGTATCCTGCAGAAAACGACAGATGCGGAATAAGAGATCTCACCAACCAAAGGAAGAGTTCCAAACCCGGAAATGGACAATGCATCTATAAAAGAACCAGTCACCAATGCCCGATCAGACCACGGATCTCTCCGTCACCACGTGCCGAGCGTGACAGCGGCGAAGGACCCCCGCCGGATCAAGAGCACAACAACAAGAATACGAGCTCGACCGCACAATGCGGGAGAACGGGCGAGATCTGAGGGGTAGGTTAGGGTTCAGGGAGGATGGGACGGGAGAACTGAGATCACGCACGCACCAGAGGGGAAGCGGTTGTGGAGGCCGAGGAGGAAGACGAGGGGGACGAGCACGGAGCAGACGACCAGGACGAAGACGGCCGTCCCTTGCCCCTTCCATCGCCGCTTAGCCGCCAGCAGTGCAGCCGTCGAGCCTCCGCCGGCGGCTCCGCCGTATCCTTTCATCTTCACCTCCCTCTGCTCTCCCCCTATTTAAATCTCCCTCTCTATCATTGCAAGGAGGAATCCTCTACACAATCGTCGTCTTCTTCTCTCCACACATCTCTGTTTTCTCAACTATCATTCTCGTCTTCGTACCATAATCCAAATACGGAGATATCTACCCATCTCACTAACTCTAATTCTGTGTCAGTATTTTCGGATCTTACATATATATATATATATATACATATATATGTATATATATATATACATATATATACATATATATATATATATATATGTNTATATATATATATATAT